ACGTTTTAAACTTATCCTTTGCTTGAAGCTCAAAATAAAACACAAGAAATTTTATTAATCATTTCGGAAATGTGTTTGTGAGATACGTACCTTTTGAGCATGGGGCATTAGTTACCAAATCATTATTTCCAGCAGCACTCGTAACAGTTATAAAAGTTAGTTACTATAGTTACTACTTCTTTGATTTTGTTTCACGGTGCAAGTGTGATGACTCTAGCATAATGATTATCATAGACATACGTGCAGTCTGTCTTGCAGGTTTTGAGAATAATATATTTATTAAGATAGATGGATGTTTACAATAAAACAGCATAAATAAACAATATTTATTGCTCCCAGAAGGATTTTCTTGCTATGATATGATTTAGATAATTGTACCTAAAGCAAGAGCGAATCCAGGGAAATAGTTAGGGATGGAGAAAATAGAAATTATAAATTGAAAAAAGAAGGTCCTAACTGTTTAATATTTATGATGTATTCTAATAAACAACTAAAGCAGCGTTCACCTAAAAGAAATTTATTTTCCGCAGCGCTAAATCTCTCCATTTCATGTTTTGATCTTGAGTTAGCCAGMCTGACATTTTGCGACATTCTGTATCCGTCAATGTTAAAAAAATTCACAACGTTGAAGTATGAATCGTTATCGAACTAAACGCAAAACAGAATCAGTTTTAATAATCTCCTGRATCAGTGCATGGRCGCAGGAGAATCTTTTCATCAATTTGTGAGGGCATTTTGACAAGTTCTTGCAAACTCTTCATAAATTTTCCCTGAGGAATATCTTTTATTACGCATTACATAGAACTAAACTAAACAGTTTTGATTTCTTAATATTACTACTTCAATTTGCTGAGGATCATCTCGGGCTGAAGAAAGAAATCAGCTGAAATTATAGAAAAATAGTCAAAAAGAAGTTCAGATCATACCTTTAGTGTCTAGTTATTAAGTAATGGAGCTTGAGCAGGCCAACATCATAAGTTGTACAATTCGTAGATCATTTCGCCATCTTTCAAGTTCTTTTATGTTTAGTGAAGAGAAACRGCATCAATTGTTAAGAACACTTTTAGATGAGTTTTTTGGTCGATTTRATCAATAATTCATGCGAGTCTGRCGTAGATAGATAGAWAGAAATGTGAATATTGAAATGTGTGCGTGCGTTCAATTAGAGAAAATGGATGAAGTGTTATTGACTTATGAAWTACATTCACTGTTAACGCTCGCTGTACATGGAGTCATTTAATTGACTATATTCACATGTTCTCGAAGGAGTGCAACTTTATTTCTGATAAATATCTTTAACGCTACATGTATGTGCAGGTATATGTGCTATATTACAATTACCCAGAATGCGATTGRTTAGTTTCGGAGTAAACAGTGATCATATAACATTSAATCGAGACATCGTAAACAATAACTGTTAAACTGTGATAACGCAGACTTAGACAATAGATAGGCTATATTCTTATTGTTAGAAGTTCTTGTTAATAWWCAGTTTGATATTTCAGTGCAGTRATTATATCCTCGTGTCATTGTGACACGTTTCTAGAAATTTAAACAAAATTAAAACATAAATTTAGCTAATGAATAAGACCTTAAAACAGAGCCGGGAAAGTTGCCTTATAGAAAAATATGGCTGACATCCACTGAGTGAGTAAATAATTCAGTCAGTTTCTCTATCATTGTTGATTCAAGCAACATATAAAACTTTGTAGCGTCGAAGAAAAATTCTGATGCTTTAAACAAATGGTTTCTTGCAGATAAAAGACCTCTTTTCACTGCATTTCCTTATCATCCACTTTCCATGCTTTCCCATAGCRGCACAGAGTTGAGATTCAGGRCTGGGTAGATATGACCCCTGCGGTATGTACTGGTCAGCTGACGAACCATCAGACCATCCATTATTGGTTGTCATTGTACTTAARCCCAACCATGGTCCAGGCTCTTCATAATCTATGATTGAASAGATACAGATATGTACTTGAGTTCGTTAAGACTTAAAATTATAAAAATCACGCATGAAGTTAGTCTCTTCCCAGCCGTTTTCCATCGGGATCCCTGTGCTCAAACGACTRCGAAGAGACTAGTACGACTTACTCATGGCTTCTTTGATTTCAGAAAGGTTCAAAGCTCTGTCAAAAAACATCAAGTCTTTCATGTATCCATGGTAATTATTATTGACATTGCTCCATTCGCCTCTCGTGACGCCTAACTGGTAATGAGGGCGTGGCTGCACGTGGGCAGGCTCATTGGAAAACCACTGGTCAGCGGCCCTAGAACCATTCACCACAATGTCTAGTTTAATTCTCATATCTTTTCCATCAAGCGTATAAATCGAAGTAGCAGCAATGTGAGTCCAAACAATAGGAGGCGGAGATTTGCTGAAAGAAAMATTACAGTAC